ACTTGATATTTGTTTGTTTGACAGCCGTCATAATAAGAGTATATACAAATATGAATATCATTTCACAATTCAAGGCAAACATTATAATTACTCATGTGCTTAATGTTCTATAGCTTCCCTTGAAAGAGACTTTTTCTCTTGCCCACTCAGTAGGGAGTGAACAAGTCTTTTGCTAGCTGAACCCCCACCCACCTACCCTCTCCTACCCGACTCTGCTCCTCCATCGGAGACAAGTGTGTAAGCTTCATGCCAAATGGTGTTGCACAAGGTCGATGACCTCCTCCTCGTCATTATGCTGCAGTGTTTGGACCTGGCGATTGCCCGCTCAAGGCCAAGCACTACACCATGGCAGGAGGTTGTGGCGGGGACAGCGCTTTCTTGGTCAGTGGGTCAGGGATCGGCCAGCAAAAGACTTTGTCCCTCTCCCTTGAATGGGCAATGTGACTGGGTCTCTTTAGGGTAACTGATCACTTTTTTTCAGCTGCTTAAGACATTTGTGTTTGTTTTCTGCCAACAGTGCACTGACTACGACCTGGATTTTGGCACGGAGTGCTTACATTTGGCCCTGGAGTACAGTAAAGTCAGAGCGAAGTTAGTGGAAGGACCCCCCGACCTGTGGAAGGTAAATATGACGTTGGTGGAGGTGACCTCACATTAAATGTTTGAGTTACACTTAACTTCTGCAAACACACGGCCGTTCAGCCAGCAGGCAGCCGCTGCTGCCTGGAGCACCAGACTGAGCTCAGTTTGTAGAAGGTCTACAAACACTAATTGGGCAGATGATTTGTTTAGGTGTAAGGTTTAAGCAGTTACACATTTTGTGGTGAATGTTTTACAAACGACCACCACGGAGAAGTAGGATAAGGCGAGGCTGCATTTGGTCTGCTAGGTCTGTCTATCCTAAATTCTGGGTCTTGTACACTTTGCTTTCAATGCAAAAACTAATGGTGGCACCAAACCAGCATTTTCTGCATAAATCCTGTATTGCAAGTGGGGTACATGCAGAATGCTGCAAAACCACTAACGTGTTTCAAATGCGACTTCGTGAGTAAGCGCTAACCACTGTGAAACCGGTTGGAAATTTTGCAGCTTTCTGTGTGTGCTCTGCTTGAGTACAGTTTTATGCAACAAATGCCTCTTTTGGTTCTTGTCAAGCATTCATCTGAGATAACGTGTACCTGTGGTTTAAGCTGCCACTTGCACAGGGGTAGGCAACCTTGGCTTTACAGCTGTTATGAAACTACATTATATTGTTGCTGTATATTTTGATATGCTAATTATTCATATTTGCAGACTTGTAGGGTTACTGAAAGGTTCACTAAAGCAGTCGGTGCCTTGTTTTTAGTGGCTAGGGCAGCCTTTTCTTAACCAGGGTTCCTCCAGGGAAGTGCGAGGGGTTTCTTGAGCAATGAATGATTTCTGACTCTCAATTTAGTAACCACAATTATCTTTTTAGCTATCTGTACGAGGAACATTCTCCCCACTGACCACCAATGTAGGGAGCGTTCGTCCCATTGATCACCAATGCAAGGAGTTTTCTTCCCACTGATTACCAATGTAAGGAGCATTTTTCTCACGGACCCCCAATGTAAGGAGCATTCTTCCCAGTGACCACCAATGTAAGGAGCATTCTTCCCAGTGACCTCCAATGTAAGGAGCATTCTTCCCAGTGACCTCCAATTTAAGGAGCCTTCTTCCCAGTGACCACCAATGTAAGGAGCATTCTTCCCAGTGGCTACCAATGTAAGGAGCATTCTTCCCACTGACCACCAATGTAAGGAGCATTCTTCCCAGTGACCTCCAATTTAAGGAGCATTCTTCCCAGTGGCCACCAATGTAAGGAGCATTCTTCCCAGTGACCTCCAATGTAAGGAGCATTCTTCCCACTGACCACCAATGTAAGGAGCATTCTTCCCACTGACCTCCAATTTAAGGAGCATTCTTCTCACTGACTGCCAATGTAAGGAGCATTCTTCCCACTGACCACCAATGTAAGGAGCATTCTTCCCAGTGACCTCCAATTTACGGAGCATTCTTACCAGTGGCCACCAGCATTCTTCCCAGTGACCTCCAATGTAAGGAGCATTCTTCCCAGTGACCTCCAATTTAAGGAGCCTTCTTCCCAGTGACCACCAATGTAAGGAGCATTCTTCCCAGTGACCACCAATGTAAGGAGCATTCTTCCCAGTGGCTACCAATGTAAGGAGCATTCTTCCCACTGACCACCAATGTAAGGAGCATTCTTCCCAGTGACCTCCAATTTAAGGAGCATTCTTCCCAGTGGCCACCAATGTAAGGAGCATTCTTCCCAGTGACCTCCAATGTAAGGAGCATTCTTCCCACTGACCACCAATGTAAGGAGCATTCTTCCCACTGACCTCCAATTTAAGGAGCATACTTCTCACTCACTGCCAATGTAAGGAGCATTCATCCACTGAGTACACTGACTTCCCCCTTGTGATGGGGCCCTTCTCCTAATCAACACCAATGTTAGGGGGTCCTTCTCCCACTGATTATTAATCTAAGGGAGCCTGTCTTCACTGATTATTTATGTACGGGAGGATTTCACCGACCACCGATGAAAGGCGGCACTTCACACACCACCGATATAAGGGGACACGCCTCAACTGACTTACTGTTCTCATTAATGTGCCATGAGTTGTAGATACAGTAATTATTACCAGGGGTTCCCCAAAACATGAAAGTTATTTCAAGGGTTCTTCCATTGAAAAAAAAGGCTGGATTAGGCTGATTTATAGACTTGCTCTGTGTGGGAGCAGAACAAAGCGCAACCATTATGCAGCATCGCAGAGCAGAAAGCATAGACTAAGCATGCAATGAGCAATTATGGCTGCCTCTGTCTATATTACATTGTTTATTATGTATATCGCATGTTAATTACAAGCTATACATAGTAAAATGTTTGTTAAACACATATTAACAAGTTTATTTCTATTAGTTTGATCATTTTAACTCAGAAACCTAAAAAAAACCGATTGAAATACATTGCACAGGAATGCTTGAAGGGTTTCTAAGATATAACGATATTATACAGGGACTGTTTGGGACTTGTGTTCTTCCTCTAGGCTGCCCCCTTCTGATGAACGGCGAGCGTCGTGCCGGTGCTTGGATAAATGGCAGATTGAATGAATTATTGGTATTGAGGCCAATAGAGAGGGCTGCTCTGGGCATTCACTTTATTGGCATATAATCCCTTCCTGTGCTGTAATTAACGGCTTGCCTTTATTCGCTAGGTGACCTACAAGCGAGATTTATACGCAGCTGAGTCAATTATTAAAGGTAAGCGTGTCTTTTTATTATGTTATTATAGGTTGTTAACAGGGATGTGTGTTCCAATTAACTATTTAATGGTGTGAGCTTGATGAAACCGATAGAGAGTGGGAGTAGAGCCATGAGGTCGCTGCTTTATTATGAGCTCGTTAAACCCGAAAGAAATTCTGTATTGATAAATATTGTTGGGGCAGTTAACACCTTCCAGGCTGAGAGGGTGTTTTGCATTTGTGACCAGAGTAATTCTCAGCAGAAGGATATTTTCTCACTTCCAGCATACACAGCTACCTCTTCATGTCTCACTGGCCCCTCCCCAGGGCCTCTCACCCTGCAGCGCAGTAAGGCGGCCGCCTGACTTGCCTTGCGGGAGCGCCGGGCCTGCCCCTCCCCTCCCTTTAGATTGTAAGCCCTCAAGGGCAGGGCCCTCCTTACCATCTTGTCTTGAATTGTATTGTGATTGTAATGTCTTCCTTATATTGTAAAGTGCTGCGCACACTGTTGGCGTGACATAAATCCTGTATAATAATAATAATAATAGACCTTAACTCAAAAAGTGAGGATTTTCTATTTTATAGGGAATATTAGATATGTTAATTGTGCCTAAGCAGTACCCTGAACAACCTCTTGTCTAAAATGACTCCTAAGTATAGCAGTGCACTGCATGTGCCTAGGCACTCCTGTACCTTGAGCCTCAAAGCAGTATATGTGCAGTGTAAGATCATCTAAGGCATTGCTGCCTCTGTCTGCTAGTGTCACCAGATTTGGAGTGAGATTTAGCGACGTCACTACTGTGCTGATCATTGCTCTCCTTGCTGGAGAGGAAGCTGTAGATGAGGACCTACATTGCAAGGATCTCCCTGCTTCTTCTTCATTTATTCTGTGCATCTGTGCTTCCTCCACCTCTTCTGTTGGTTCTTAAATACCATTCATTAGGGGGGGGGCATTTCTGACATGAGAAAGCAAGTCCTGCCTCTAACAAGATGGCCACCTTAACACAGAGAGGCACACTGTAGAACGATTAAGTAACAGTGAAAAGATCAGCCTATAGCAGGGATGGCCAAACTCCGGCCCTCCAGCTGTGGTGAAACTACAAATCCCATGAAGCATCTCTCCCCGGGAGTCATGTCTGTGGCTGTGAGAATCTTGCAAAGCCTCATGGGATTTGTGGTTCCACCACAGCTGGAGGGCCGTAGGTTGGCCATCACTGGCCTATAGGTAATATGGGTGATTAGTCCTTTTTTGTCAGCTTTGGAACAGCTTCCATGGTACAGGTTCTGTTTATCGAAATATCATCTCCATCCTGACCACCCTGCTAATCAAAGCTGTATTTTACTCATTCAGGGAAAAGAACTGCTTAGGAATATTGAGGGACCGTAATATTCAGGGATACAAGTAGTCCTAAGAATGAGATGATGCGTGGACCTATATGGGTTGGACTTGATGGACGTATGTCTTTATTCAACCCCAAATACTATGTAACTATGTAACTATGTAACCGTTGTGCTTAATAAGTTGCCTTCTCTGCTGCTCATACTTATTTTCATAACACCCTCCCGTTGTCACCTGCACTTTGATGGCGGTGTAGTCATACACATAAGTTTGGTTCCAGACTTTATTGGCAATTGGTATAAAGGATACAGCCGATGCATTTCAGGGGATTTTGGACTTGTTCTTCAGAACCTTTCCTTCTTGAGGTATGTCATGGGTCCACGTGGAAGGTCACTTCCAGGGCTTTGGATTGAATAGTGCTGGTATTATCTCGTTTTGGCCTCAGTTGTCGACCCAAACTTTAAGGGCCCTGAAGAAAGGGAATCCAAAATTCCCTGAAACACGTTGGCTATACTCCTATTTTTTCCCCCCCCTGATTGCCCCTAAAGTCTGGAACCAAACGAGGCTTATGACTATTTACTCAAGGCACTCCTCCTCATCACACATTTGAAGAATTTTCCAATCTGAGGAACCTGCACCTTGCAGGGCATCCTTAGGAGCTGAGCAGCCTATACACATCCCATACACCTCCGTGGTACCGAGCAGAATAGCAAATAAGCGAAAAGAGTGAAAATAAAAACAAAAAGTTAAGAAATTATTTAAAAAATGATCCAAAATAGGAAAATTAAAAATAAAAGAAAAATATTTTAAATAAAAGAAAAATAAAAAACAATCAGACGGAGCTAGCAGTGACAACTAGCTCCACCCAACTGTTTCCTATTGGCCAGAACCTGCTAGCGTCTTCTAGCAGGTCCCGGCCAATAAATAACAACTGGGCAAAGCCGGCCGTGATATCGCGGTCGGCTCCGCCTAGTTGTTCATGTTTAATGACAGATCAGCATCCCCTGGTCAGTTGGGAACGCTGATCTGTCATTACAACTGGGCGGAGCCAGCAGTCAACTCACGGCTGGCTCCGCCCAGCTGTCATTTGCGGGGCTTACGGCCGGCCTTCGGCAGGCCTTTCTCCCTGCTTCAGCTGCCACTTTAGCTCAGTCGAGCCGAAGCATATGCCTTCGGCTCAGCTGAGCCGCTCGGCTGCTGTATGGGCTTCAGTTGCACGTTGATAAGTTTTTAGTCATTGGGCTCAGATCTACTTTCCTTTAGGAAATTCTTCCTTATATTCATTGCTGTTTGAGACGAGGCAACACTATAAATGTCAAAAAATTTCCCTAGAAAGGATTATTGTTCTGAAATTTGCACGTATCATAATAACTAGCACTCAATTTACCTTTTTAGAACCTTTCCTTTTCCTATTCCATGTCAGCCGTGACCTGTGTGGCGCACAACTAACCCGTGACCCGGAGCGTTAGGTCCTAGGGCTGTGTTTTCTTCAACTTTTAGGTTTTGACGAGTTTTTGTTTTCACCTCCGTCTGCTAAGTGCCGCTTTTGAGTGACTCCTCACCACCTCACAGCTTTTTGTCTTTGATGCGCTTACGCTTATTTTTTGATGACAGACGCTTATTTTTTGATGACATGTGGGTTTCTTTGCATGCCTTTCATTGCTTGTCCAGTTTATTTCTATGCTTCATGCTTTACTTATTCCTCCACCTGAAGAATGCGATTTGTCCACTTAGATACGTCATCAGTAGTTTTGACCTCACAGGAAGAGCTGCCTGAGGGCCTATTCACACCACATCCAGATCATCTCCAGACCAGATTGTTTCCGGACCCAAAATGCATCCTAATGTATCCCTATGCTACTTTTGGCCTCTGTTCACACCAGCGCAGGCCGTTCCTGACCAGACCAAATTGTTTCTGAACCCAAAGTGCATCCTAATGTATCCCTATGCTCAGGGGCGTCCCGAGGCTGGGTGACACCCGGAGCGGTAACCGAGTGTCACCCCGCCGAGACGTCACTGTGCACGCGCAATGACGTCATCACGCACGCGCGGCAGTCTTCTGATACTTGTCGGCGGCCATCTTGGTGATGGACGCCGGCAGAGAGAGGAGGGGACAGTCACACGGCGGGATAAGGTATGCCGCCGGGTCCCCTCCTCTCTCCTGATACTGTCGGGCGTTCGGTCCATGACCAAGCGCCCGACTTTTCAGAGGGGGGTGACACCAAAATGACTGTCAGTCATTTTGGTGTCACCCCTCTAATGGTGTCATCCGGGTGCGGGCCGCACCCCCCTTATGACGCCACTGCCTATGTTATTTCTGGCCTCTGTTCGCACCAGCGCAGTCCGTTCCTGACCAGACCAGCATTTTTACAGCAATTTTACTACAATTGTGCCGTGTTTCGGAGCATTTGATTTTCTTTTTAGCTCAAAATGGGCTTTTAGGTGTGTTTCAGTGCATTTGTATGCGTTTCCATGCGTTCCCGTGTATTCCAGACCAGACAAAGTGAGACCTGCAATATTGTTCTGATCTGGAACAGACTGCGCTGGTGTTACCAGAGGCCAGAAATGGCATAGGGATACATTAGGATGTATTTTGGGTCCAGAAACAACCTGGTCTGGTCTGGAGATGATCTGGATGTGGTGTGAATGGGCCCTGCACTCCTCATTTTGTCTGGTCTGGCATGCACTGGAACGCATGGAAACACATAAAAAAACGCATGCAAACACACTGGAACGCACCTGAAAGCCCATTTTAAGCTTAAGAAACAAGAAAAAAAACCCAGCTCCGGAACGCGGTAATATGGGAGCAAAAATGCGGCAAAATGCAATGCACCATGTTCCAGATGTGGTCCAAATAATGGTGGGAACCTGCCCTGATTCTTTTCTGCTTTTACTTATTTTTAATCCGCCACAGCCATGTTGGTCAACCTTTTCTGCTTTTGTTTTTCCCTTCGTGTGTTCCCATCTTTTTTTTTTTTTGTGGGTTCCTTAATTGTAAATTCGGTCCGGTACATCGGTCAACTTTCCTGTTTTTGCTTTTTCCTTCATGTGTTCTCATTAGTTTCTTTTTGCGGGTTCTCTTAAGTTTTTTTTCCTTCATATGTTCTCATTTTAGTTTGATTTAATTTTTTTTTCCTTCTCTTTTCTCCTAAGTGGTATTAATGAGCAGCTAGAGGGATAGTGCTGAAGACTGAGCATGATTAAACAAATGGCAAATGCATGTTCGGTCCAGTTTGAAGGGAAGCCATAGTCATTTTGGGTCAGTTTCATTTTGTTTTTCCTTTTTTAAGCATTGAAAGCAAACCTGTACTTTGCTTATGCAGGGCGGAAAAGCAGGTTCACTTTAAAGGAGAACTATGGAGTGAGTGTTTTTTCCCCATAGTTCTCTTCAGCGTCAGGGGAGGACAAATACTAGCATCCTCCCCTAACCCAAAGCTCAATATATCGCGAGCTACAGCTCGCGTTATACTGAGACCGCCACACCCGGGACAGATCCTGACAATCATGTCTGGATCTACCCAGCTGCGGGAGTGACAGCTGGCTCTGCATTTCTAGAGGCAGGGCAAAGCTGTGCCCGCCCCTTCCCCCGTTCACTTCCCGATCTATTGAGCCAACCTGTGACAGTCTCATTGTCACACGTCGGCTCGAACTATGAGGATGAGGGAAAATCACTTATCTCA